CTTTTTTTTGTAGATGCATGATGTCTTTACCTATCATTTGGTATATTTTTTTTATAAATCTGACTTTTTACCTGCCTACAGGGGGGGATTCAAAATGACATTTTTTTCACAACAAATTGACTTTTTCAACTTAAACTTTGAAAGTGTTCCGGAAAGTCTGACACTTTTATATATATCTTAAATTAAAGCTAATGTAATATACTTTATCATGGAAAAAAAAAATTTCGGACTTTATTTTATCTTCAAGGTGAAAATGGCTACCAAATGCTATTATTGTGTGAAAATTCTCAATTTTATTTTTTACATTTTTAACATTATAATGCTATAACTTATTGAAAAGTGTATTGATCAATATAATTTTTTTATGGGAAATACTATTTTCTAATAATCTCTTTTTTATTCTACATACTTTGTCTTAATCAGGATATTAATAAGGAACTAGCAGTTTATGAAGCTTTTGGAATAATCCACCAATTTTTTAAAATTAAACACTATCTAAAGATTTGCATCGAAGCGTTTTTTTTTGATAGTGATTTTAATCACTGTCAGATATCATTATACTTGATCCAACTATGCCACGTAACCACTGTGCCGCGACCCCCCTGTGCTGGGTTTTTTTTTATAGTTGTAAATTACGAACGATGAGTTATTAAATATTGTATTTATTTAAGTTCAAGTACGTTCAGTAAACATTGTTCACTAAGTATAAAAATTAAAAATGGAGAGAAACATGTGGAATGGTAAGTATACGTGAACTAATAGGCTAGACGAATAACCGAGAAAATTTCAGTGGGCCCCTCGTAAATATATGGGCCTACATTATATGATAGGTGCAGTAACTTCTAGATAGTTCTAATACTATGATAAAACAACTATAAACAATATATCAGCCACAAAACAATAAGTAAAATATTTACGTTAATACGACACTGAGTTTTTCTTGAAAAAATTGATGAGCAAAAAAGAAAAAATTAAAGGTCTTGGTAGGCTTTGGGGTTAGGTGCAAGCGGGTTAAGGAAGTAAAAATCTCGGTGGTTCCTTTTTTCTCAATCAGATTGCGTAAGTACAAAATGTCCATGAATATGCAAGTGATTACTATGGTTCAGGTTCGGTAAACTAATGTGAACATAGTTCATTCCTGTGATTTTTAAATTAAGAAAAAGAGTTACTCAAATGAAATTATTCCTTAAATGTGCGAAGACACAGTTAGTAACAGTTAGTCTTGGCTGTTAGCGTGCAAAAGCCTACTTATGAGCGACTTGCACACAACATCGTTCATAGATCGAATGTGGTGTTGTTTTGAAAATTATATCTATTATTGATATCATATCAGAATTATCAATTCGAAAAAAACGTGGTTTTAATGTGCATTCGACAGTAATCACGTTTTACTGATCGTATACGAATGCACAAAAACTCAAAGCAATGCATATGCGCGTAATACGATAAAAACGCGGACTATGATAGTGTATACTTTTAATTCATTTTATTATGGTTGCAACAACACTGAAGCAGTTTACAACGATTCACAAGAGATGGTTGCTAGAGTGTGATTGTAGGGGCTTATCTTTTAGTAATGATATTATGTTGAAAAAAAATTCTATATGTTTATTTGAGTGTTAAAATTCATTCATAATAATAGTTGCACTTATGCAATTATATGCACAACAAGTTATATTTTTTTTCAGTATTAACAATCAGATTTACATTCTTCTACTTCCCGAACTTTACATGCTACAGATGGTGGTGGTCCTATTTCACATGTTAAGAAGTCAAAAATGTTTCTTGGCTAGGTCAATGATGGACGTTAAAGGTAATATGGCTGGCTTTTACCAGAGACAAGTATCACAAGGAAAATCTTGCTGGCGCCCTAGAGATCGAACTCGAGACCCCGAGCGCCAAAACATGCTTTTCTATCCGCTAGGCCAAGCCGACCCCTTTTTCAGTATTAATATTTTAGTATTATTTTATAAACTAATTCATAATATTATTATATATTGACATTATTTAAGTAAACAGAAATAAAATTTTCTTGTTTTAAAAGTAAAAACAAAATGTTTCATTTTTATACTGAAAGCAAATGTAAGTAAACATATATTTTAGATAAAAACTCTGAACGCGTATAATTGCACAGTTGTCATCTTTTTTTATTTTGTAATTATATGCAAATACAAATGACAAAAATTCTCTTAAAATAATATAATTTTAGACGTCATATTTATTAGGTCACAAGTATTTTTTTCACGATTAAAAATAATTATACTGTCAATTATCAATTTGCCAACATTTTCTTTGGATGAAGATATCTGATATTAATATACTCTATTTTACCAATAAATTTACCTAGTTGAAATTAAATTACAAAAAAAATTGAATTTTTAATATGAATTAGAAAAATAGTATTGATTACTATTAATTTTCATAATATATAAGTTTTATTGTAATAGACTTATATACATGTAACAAATTTACATTAAATATAGTACTAAAGTACATTATTTTAAAAATAATTCAACTTGCAATAATATAATAAATAAAGGTTTTATAAAACTTAATAGTTATTAGCTTAAAAAACCCAGCACAGGGGGGTCGCGGCACAGTTGTGACGTGGTATAGTTGGATCAAGTATAATGTTATCTGACAGTGATTAAAATTACTATCAAAAATAAACGCTTCGATGCAAATCTTTAGATAGTGCTTAATTTAAAAAAAATTGGTGTTTTATTCCAAAAGCTACTTGATCTGCTGGTTCCTTATTAATATCTCGATAAAGATAAAGTATGTCAAATGAAAAAGGGTTTATTAAAAAATATTATTTCTCATAAAAAAATTGTGTGGATCCATAAACTTTTCAATAAGTTATAGCATTATAAAGTTAAATATTATATAAATTATATTAATTNTCACTTTAAAGTAAAAAATGTAAATTATAAAATCGAGAATTTTCACACGAAAATAGCATTCGGTAGCCATTTTCGCCGTGAAGACAAGTCCAGAGGTCAAATTTTTTTTTTTCAAATTAAAGTATATTACATTAGCTTTAATTTAAGATATATATAAAAGTGTCAGACCTTCCGGAACATTTTCAAAAGTTATGTTGAAAAAGTAAATTTTTTGTGAAAAAGTTGTCATTTTAAATCCCCCCCTGTGGGCAGGTTAAGTGTCAGATTTACATAAAATATATACCAAATGATAGATAAAGACATCAAGCATCTATATAAAAAAATTTATATTGATATGTTCATTTTTGAAAAAATTAGAGAATTATTAAGTTAAAAATATAAAAAAAAATTATTTTACAAAAATCGTAATTGTTTATTAACTTTGATGTCAACTTTCACCACGAAGACAAGTCCAGAGGTCAAATTTTTTTTTTTCAAATTAAAGTATATTACATTAGCTTTAATTTAAGATATATATAAAAGTGTCAGACCTTCCGGAACATTTTCAAAAGTTAAGTTGAAAAAGTTCTACTTTCTATATGCATTTTTTATATTTGAAGCCCCCCCATATATAGGGAAATAGTCTGATTTAAAAAAAAAGTATATCCAATGAAAGATGTATATAAATACTACTTCTCATGAAAAAATTGTATTGATCCATACATTTTTTAAAAAGTTATAGCACTTTAAAGTAAAAAATGTAAATTATAAATTACAAAAATCGTAATTGTTTATTAACTTTGATGTCAACTTTCACCACGAAGACAAGTCCAGAGGTCAAATTTTTTTTTTTTCAAATTAGGTATATTACATAAGCTTTAATTTAAGATATATATAAAAGTGTCAGACCTTCCGGAACATTTTCAAAAGTTAAGTTGAAAAAGTTCTACTTTCTATATGCATTTTTTATATTTGAAGCCCCCCCATATATAGGGAAATAGTCTGATTTAAAAAAAAAGTATATCCAATGAAAGATGTATATAAATACTACTTCTCATGAAAAAATTGTATTGATCCATACATTTTTTAAAAAGTTATAGCACTTTAAAGTAAAAAATGTAAATTATAAAATCGAAAATTTTCACACAAAAATAGCATTCGGTAGCCGTTTTCACCATGAAGACAAGTCCAGAGGTCAAATTTTTTTTTTTCAAATTAAAGTACATTACATTAGCTTTAATTTAAGATATATATAAAAGTGTCAGACCTTCCGGAACATTTTCAAAAGTTAAGTTGAAAAAGTTAATTTTTTGTGAAAAAGTTGTCATTTTAAATCCCCCCCTGTGGGCAGAAAAAAGGTCAAATTTACAAAAAAAATATACCAAATAATAGGTAAAGACATCAAGCATCTATATAAAAAAAAATTATATTGATATATTCATTTTTGAAAAAGTTACGGCAGTTTTTAGTAAAAAAAATTGAAAAAATTTCGAAAATTAGCGATTTTTAAATTTGTAATTTTTTTGGAGGTTTCCCCCATTTATAGGGAACGAGGGAAATTTTTTCAATTTTGAAGGGTAATGTCTTCGACTAGATACGATTTGTGATCTTTTGACTTATCGTTGAAAGAATACCGTTCGGTGAGAGCTGAGAAAAAGTGGTAACAGACACAAAAAAAAAAAAAACACATCATAGTAAAACCAATACTTTCTCAGCTTCGCATCGAAGCTAATAAATACGATTTAAGATGTAAATATTAAAGAAATCTTTTAGAAAAACAAATTTACATTTTATCCAATCAATTTGAATAAAAGTTTCTTATAATCTGCAGAAATATCTCCCTGTAATAACAAAAATTTTAATTAAAATCTACTACCATTTTAATAATTACTCAGGCTAATTATTGCTAATTGTCAACTTACGCTAATCCAAGATTCCAAAGAAATCCCATATAATCTTTCAAATGCCAATTTAATGTCACCGAGATCGATTTCAGACCTTGACACTATAATTCTTATCAAAGTCTTATCATCTGTTCCCATACCAGCCATGCTTTTGTGCAAACGTTCCTCAAAGACATCGATTTTTCTTCTAATACATTTGACTGGAAAATAATAAATAAATTAAACTCTTGCAAAATTTTATTTTGACATGAAACGCATGGTATTTTGGTAGATTTGTGTATTTCTCATTTTTTTTAAGTTACAAATTTAAATATTCATTTTTTTTTTTTTTTTTGATCTTCTAGTACATAACATATGCTTTATTTTAACATATATTTGAAGCTCAGAATATTACCGGACCTTTTTTAAAATTGAAATTGAAAAAGTTAAATTTTTGTGCAGAATTTGCTATTTTAAATCTTCCTATGTAACAGGTAAAGGTTCAGATTAAAAAAAAAATTGTTTGCTTTGTTAATTTTTAAATAGTTATGTACAAAAACAAAAGTTTTTCTAAGAAAAAAAGTTTTAAAAAATGTCGAATTTTACCTAATATAAAAATTGTATTTTTTGGGTGATTTACCTCATTTACAGAGAGCGAAATAATTTTTTTTAATTTTTAAGGGTAATGTCTTCAATTAGATACGTTTTTTAAACATCTGACGTATCGTTTAAAGAAATCCATCCCGTGAGAGCTGAGGAAAAGTGGCAACAGACATAAAAAAAACACGTCATAGTAAAATTAATACCTTCTCAGCTTCGCATCAAAGGTAAAATTTAAATGTTTGCTTTTAAATTTTTAAATTTATGAAGTATAATTGTGTATATACCTAAATATTTTGTAGTTATAGTATTGTTTTAGCTTCAATACATGGGTATTAATTTTCCATAATGTGTTTATTTTTTGTATCAGTCACTAATTTTTCTTAGCTCTCACTGGACCGATTTTTCTCAACGATACGTTTGTAGCGACCAAAACATACGCAACGAATATTCTCGAATGTTCTCGTTATCAAAAAAACCTTCGAGAAACTTCGATAACGCC